AATTGAGAATCTCTTTAGGACGATAGACTCGCCTCTCCTAGTATAGTCTGTTGTCACAGATAAGAGCTGAAGGGGGCTCTTCCACTCTATTTTCCACCCTGAATCCAAAGGGGAAAATTCTGGAGGTCCTGGAGACATTCTCAATTACTCCAGCACTGCAATATAATACAGGCCCCGTAAGGAGGGACCCGAGTTATTTCGCAATGGAAGCCACACTGCCCCAAGGAACGTACCATGGGGTCTTCCAAGATATAAACAGCAGAACTTCCCCTCTGATCCAAAAGGTATCATCGCCTTCCTTCACGATTGCCGTTCGTCTCTCGAGCCGAGTCCCCCAAGTGCGATGAGCGGGGTGTTGGGTATCCAGGAATGCAAATCATCACAATGGCATGAACGATAGTGTTCTCCTCCCATCTAAATGCCTAAAGCCCTCAGAACACAATAACGGTGGCTAACTAAATGCCCTAACTACCCGAACATATATCCGGGAACTTAGCCTTGTCTCACGAACCTAGACATCGTTTGGCTGATGCCTCATGGGCGGCCCAGCTATTGCGTTACCCTGTTCTCCAAGCCCCCATATTCCAGTGCGCAGGCTGCATAACTCCTACTGAGCACCGCTTCTGAAACTCGTTAGAGCCTAGGACGGTTTCTGCCCTATGTCCCGATATAATCCCAAAATAGAGGCCAAAGGCTCGGGAGGTACAACCATCGGAACATCAGTAGGTCCAAAATGGAGCACAGAAAAACAATATAATAGGCCAGTGCCCATATCGGAATATTGCCCGAGACGACCACCCGCTCCGCCCGCTGGGAAAGTTAGCGAGCAAGGGACCTGCTTCTCACTAGGAATTGACTGATTGGATAATAAGCGCACCTGGTCCTATAATTGGTTCACCGAAGATCCCGAAACCATAGAAGCCCACCATTCCGCAGAGCCTGCCAGTGACGGATACCAGCTAATCACTTGCTTATATCCTATTCTCCGCTGGTCCGTTCGTTCGACACGGCCGAGCACCCATTCTAATAAACAGCCCACAAACACCAAAGCAAACCCAAAGACAGGGACCTAAAATCTCAGCTCATCGGCCCTCAGGAGCTAATTTTCGCTCGTGCCAACGCCTCCAGGATTCCAACGCCACCCAATCAGCAGGGAGAAAATTGAGCACATGATAGGGCATAAGGAGCTAGTTGAGGAGAGTGTGTGACATGCATCCCATGCTAAAGCCAGCCTAGCCCCTCTAGACCTGTTCCGAACCCCTGGGGATATCAAGAACAAAAGCTCCCCGGTGAAACGAAAAACTCCCTGGGAACAGCCCCAGGCATGCTAAAAACAATACGAGTACAACCGGGTGAAATACAACGCCTCCTCCCAGAACGTTGAAGCCCCCGTCATACGCCTAGAAGGACACAAACACTCCAAGACCTCCATCTCTTTGGGGCGAAGGTTATCACTAAGCCCAGCGACATAAGTAAACACCTTCAAATAGTATGGCATGCTACCCATACCCTCCGTGAGCAGGATACTAGAGCAGGGAGCGAAAGAGACTAACTTATATCTAAGCCAAAGACCTGCCGGAAATCAACTAAGGTGCTGTCGTACGCAAAATGAATACATAAAACAGCATCTCTGCTTAGGGATCTTGAGGATACGAACGAGTCCTCCGTTTTCCGAATAGTGTCAACACCGTCCCCTCTCCCGTCCTCCGTTAGGTTTCCCGGATATTCGATGCTTATTCGAGCCAATGCGCTCGACACCATCAGGTTCCACCGCCAAAGTCAAACACCTTCCAATCGCACCCCAGTTTCTGCAATTAACGGGACACAACGTGTCTGTCGGGGGCACGCGGACACCTCGGGCCGAGACCTACCGAATTATTAAAAAAAAAACCCCCCCCTTATATTGTCGATAAAGCTAGATCTGTTCCCAACCCGCTATCCTAGAGAAAATTCTTCAATTAATGGGCATATTGAGTCACAGGGATGGTCCTCCTACTCCTCGTTTGCTATCGTGACTCCTACCACAGACACAAGCTATAGGTATGGAGTTGCCCCCCGTGTGCTCGTACTATCATAGATAATCACACATATATCCATCGGGGTATTCTCCCAGCCCTGAGTCATTGCGACGAGATTGCTTTGTGGAGTATGCTCGCGGGAACCCGCCGCTGACGTAATATATATTCCTGAGTGAGTTCTAGCAAGGCTTCAGCATTCCCACTGAACCCCTACCCCTAGAGCAGCCTAACAGAAAAACCAAAGTTAGAGAAAACTCGGAACCGATGGCGATGGAACGGCCATTGAAGGCTACTTAAAATAAAAAATAAAAATAAGGTCTCTAGAACGTGAGTTATGAGTTCGCCGCCCAAATCATTGTGGAAACCCAGCATTATCAAGGCATCAATCATACTGTGGACTAATTCCCGATTCATTTCCCGTTTCCAGAGACTCTAGGAAATGTCCAGTGGACCTGACGAAAAAATAGGCCATTCTAAACGGAGAAACAGTCTATAAATCAGAGGGGTAAATTAGGGGCGATCCAAGCGATGTACCAGGAGGGGTAGAACCTCTAACATCAATTCCAAGGGACCGAGCTAAGCTAGAATAAAGGGGCCGAGTGATCCTGTGTGAACAACTTTTCAAAGAACCCACGGCAAGGGGAAATCGGCGGGCTGCAAAATCTCCGGATTAAGTAGCACAGATCTGGGTCTTAGCCCTAATTCTCTCACCGGAGACTGGTGCACGGATGCAACTCCTTGGCCAATTGTGAACACTATACTCAACAGCCCAAAAACTTTAGTTGCCCAAGGAATATCCAAAAGTATCTGAGGCTCAATTCCCCACATCATTTGTGGATAGTATTGAGCTGGCCAGCCCCGGTGGAAAAAAAACTTCCAAGGATCTTATATATCGGAGTTTCTCGTTCAGCCTTTCCCACGAGTGACCATCCATGCGCCAGCTCGGGATATTCTACACAAATACCGGAGGTGGAGCGCTCACGATCGTTGATATATCACCTAAGAAACTAGGTTAGGGAGTTGACTTTATCAGAAGCTTTTTTTACTGCTCCTTTGAGCTGAGGTCTAACAAAAGGCCTAAAGGCGCAAGAAAATCCTGTGCAACACTCCAGCCTTCACAGACGATCACAATTCAATCTAATAGCCTAGACCAGAGGGCCAATAAAAGGGTTTTTCTCCCGAGGACAACTTACCGGTAGTTATCATTTATGAAACCGAAATTTGCTCCGATAGTTAGTGGCCGTCATAATAGTCGACCCACTACTAGGGCCCCAGCCAATAGAGGGGAGATTAAATGCCTCGACAGACAGCCCCGAGCCGTACAAAGCGGCACTAGAAGCCTCTAGCCTACCACAAAAAATGGGGGATCCCTGGAGGTGAGGGGAGAAAAAAAGGAGTGAGTGCAAGGGGAGGGAGAAAAAGGAGGGGAAAGTCTATCATATCCTCGCTGGGATCGATCGCTTTGGCCATTTGGCGCTTTCACCATCCCCGGTCTGCAGATTAGCCCTTGGTTATCCTAGAAAACCTTTGTTATAGCATTGACAACACATTACTCCTGTATCCAAATAAAGAATTGCAGGAGGGGGAGCCAAAGAGCTAGTGGCCAGAAGGCCTACACCCTTCGTATAGTGCGGCCAACCACAGTCATGCCACGACCCTCTTACAAACGCCAAGTTCCCTTGATAAAATCTCCTCGGTGCAGCATGGCATATTGACGGCTATCCTCTACTGATACGTCCCCTTCCGAGATAGTTGATCCTCTCCCTTTTGGGCCCGAAACCCACACGAAATCAAGGGCCCCACAGGGTATTAACCGCACTGTTGCACAACTCAACCGGCCAGGACACTAACAACAGTTTCACGGAATGCGGGCAAACAGCTAGCAGTGTATTATATACGTCAGCAACCCCCCCCCCCCCTTCCTCTCTACTCGAGTAAGCGTTCCTTTAAAGCATAAAAGCTATATCAGGATAAATGACGGGTGATCCAGCATGATTCTGATAACTTGAACTAACGAGAAATGAAATTAATTTTCAGCATAAGACATAGCGAGCCGATGCACCCCTTAACGGTGCTCTAATAATCCTATCGCGGCGTCAGTTACCAAGGGTTCCTAACAACATATATTAAACTTTTCAACCATTCAAAATATGGCCATTGCCCCCCCAAAGGGTAAAGTCTTGAAAAATAGACTATTGTAAGAGACAACGGCCTATCTTGATTGGATTTTTTAGCAGAGAGAACATTGGATGGAGTATCCATGAAGGGCAGCTACGGAGGTAGCATGCGTTGACTGTGGGGCCTGCCTTTCTTCGTGGCCACTTCTGTAGGGTTGATTAAGCACCAAAAGATCGAGTGTTGATATCCTCATGCACAATCGGCGCAGCAGGTCATGAGTCACATGGGGAAGCAAAAAATCCTGTTTTCTGTTTTTCGCCGCCTGCTTGCGTCCCAATATCAGGGGATTTGGCTCCCAAAGCCCAGCCCCCGAAGAGCCTCATGGAAGGGCTCAAGGGGAGGGAGGGTCAGTCCCGCCCCACAAGGCAGATACAGGAAAGAATGTACAAAATTATGACCTGTTCAGTTCTCCATAGTACATCCACTTTGTTTCGAATACGCTGCGAGTGCAATATGTCTATCGTGAACTGCATATGCCCTTAGGCTTCGCGTGATTTTAGCTGGAAGAGGCCTTGCCAGTACTGCCCCCTTTTTCCCCTCTCTTCTCTTGCGAATCCCTCAATTTGCCTCGTTGGCTGCTAACGCAGCCCACAGAAATTTGGTGCAAGCAAAAAAAACAAGAGCATAGAAAAACTGTTAATTTTAACTACATCTCCACCCAAAATGCCCCCAAAATGCCTAACCCCCTGCCGGCACCTAAAGACTATCCCAGAGCCCAGAGAACCCGCCAAAGAAAAGAAAAAAATAGAAAAAAAAAGGACATCCTCATGATTCATGAATCAACCCAAGCCCCTTCCCGCATGCTCAAGCTCCTGTTTTGGGGCTTCCTTTGTGAACCCGATCGGGGGCGGAAAGATCTCTAGAGGCTGTGGCTGGATCAAACACATTGGGCTGGGATCCGTCGTTCTGTGCATCCTAGTTAATTCATCAAGAAGAGCCATAGAAACTCAACAGGGAGAGATGATCTAGGGGTAGTGTACCAAACGACATTTACGGAACGGAGCTATTTTTACTTACTGATTGGTAGTGATAGTCACCTTCTTTGAATCCTTGATTGGGGTACAGTACCTGCTGTCTCTGTCCGCCAGTTCTAGCTACAGGCCAAGTAGGATAGTCTTGTCTACCCTCCTCCCACGCGGTACGATGAGGAGTTGCAACGTGCTGGAGCATGTTTGGATTGATATTGTCTGATTGCTCAAGTGATTCCATGTACTCTCTTGTGTATATCGAGTTGGGACCGTACAATGGCTGGCCCGCATCTGTACCCATGAACCCTCGGACTCCCCCTTGAGGTATGATTGGCGTTCCCTGTGGGCCTTGGTAGGTAGCCGGAGACTGATAAGAATTGGAGCCTGCAAGCGGGCTTCTTCGGTTGGCGGATCCACTCTCTGTAGAGGGTGTATAGGGCGGAGTCACCCTCTGGGGTAAATAATCGCTGGTACCCCGTGTCCTAGGCAGGTTTTGTGTATAATGCAGACTTGGTGGAAAAGACCCACTGTAAGGTGGACTGTTCTCCGGCGAAACCCTCTGAGTTGCTGAACAAACCATATTAGTCCCAATCTTGCTACACGATCGCGCCAGAAACAAACTTACAAACTTGAGTGTGGGTACCAAGGATAGGCAAGCCGATCTCAGGCGACTCGGTCTCATGAGGATTTTGGGTTCGTCTCCTACGACCAGGAAGCATTCCGTTATGCGTGCTGATAGTGCTGATGGCCTTGTCAACCTGATCTTGTGTGGTCTGTATAGCCCACAGAGCAGCGTAAGTCTCTTTCCGAACGTAGAATGCATCATCAGCATCTATTTCCCTATTCGGACACATCCGTCTCGGGCCTCGTTTGTCATTAGTGTGAGTGCCATCAACGTCCTTCAGATGCCGTGTGTAAAGGGACTTCCTCGTATAGACCCTTTTGCAAGTTTCGCATTGAAAGGGGGAAAAGGTTATATGACTCTCAATCAAATGTGCCCTACAACAGCCGTCGAGGTCAACATAAGGGTTGCTCATATGGGGGCAAATATCCAACAAACCTTATATCAGAAGGAAGCTTGAAGGCCTGTCTGCAGACCGAGTTCCCCATCATAAACGTGCAGACAAATCCCCCACTAGGGGCTGCGCTAGATGGCGTAACGTAATGTTGATTTCCGGCTTTAGATTTTCTTGTAAAGGGACGAGCGCGAACAGGGGCCGCACGATCCTCAGAAACCACTCTTCCTTCAGGTTCAGCACCGCCGGAATCATCCTGTTCGGAAGTACCAGAGCAGGGAGAACTGCCGTTGCTTCCCACAGCTTCTAAAAAGGCTTCCTGGTCCCTCACAGGCTCCCATTCCCTAATAGAGGTCGACGGCGAGCCGCCACTCTCATAACCACGACTGCGGGTGCTCTCACTCGAATACGCTGACATTGGAGAGGCGCTTTCGGATCTGTTCAATTCACCGTGTAAATCTCCCCGGGTGATTATTTCGAAAGATGAAGTTTTGGATAAGGAACCACCCTTTTCAAGTCGCGCCCGAGTAATTAGGTGTGGGTTCTGGGAGGGAAGTACATGCTCCCAAGGGGAATCATGTTCAGTGGGCACTGCATAATTCTTTCTCAGAGACAACCCAAACCCAAGGCCTCACCCCATAAATATGGGAATAAACCCAGATGGGACAGCAAGTCGGGAAGTGAAAGAATAGGAAACTCACGTGGCGCTATTTGACTTCCTGGGCTCGGATGATCGGGCATGCTAGGACCCTGACGATTCATTGTCCCACTCCCTTATCGAATAAGAGGGGCCGCGAGGACGGTTAGGGTCACGGAAATACCTTGAACTTCCGGGAATAAGGGTAAGGGAAAACCCCGTCAGTAATGTTATATACGGGGCTAGTCGGGGTAGGGCAGTCTACCATACCCAGGTTGGTTTTCGGGGGGCTGTAGGGCAGGAGGAGGCAAGAGATGTTATGGTAGGGCAGAGCTGGGCAAGGTACCTGTGTGGACTGGTATGGACAGCCCGGTGCGAAAGGAAACCCCTTCAATAATGTACTAGCAGAAGAAGCAAATCGCAGTTTCACCAGTCCTCCCACTGATAATGGGTAAAGAGGGTAATAAAAAAGACAATTCTGGGGAAATCCCTCGAGATATATATGTCAGAGAAGAAGGATTACCACCAGAGAGCTTCCCGACCAAACTCCAAGATATGGCATAAACGAGAAGACGGTCAGTTAAATTAGGGCAGATTGAGGTAAAGCAGAGCAAATGGGAATTGCATGGTTTTCTCGTTCCGAAGGCTACAGTCTAGTTTTTAGAGGCTCTATACAACTCCTTCGCAGAGCCTCATAGGGTGTGCTTCTACATGCTATTGGCTGACAGATTGTGAAACGAATCTAGTAAGTAAGCTGCTACCGAACCCACGCGGCAGGGTTCTAAATAATTAAATCGTGAGCCCAACTTGCCTGCCCCCCCTCCCCTTCTCTCTTTTCCAATCCCTTCCTTTATTTTCTTTTCCCTGCACTTCCTTTTTTCTCCTCGCAGGGCAGAGCCTCAATGTGCGCGGCTAAAGGTGCTTTTGGTACGAGGCGACGCGAGGAAGAGCATTCACCTACACCATTGTGGAAAGGGTGTGACCAATTGAGGGTTGTTGGGGGTCCAGTCTGGGAAGGCCCGAGCATTGATCTGTCGTTCCTCCGATGTGGGATGAACAGCTGCATGGCTTGCTACACTCTTGCGGTAGCCAGTCTTATAGATTCGGAAAGGAAAGAGCAACACCGTACCCTACAACAAGTCCGAAAAGTTACCAGTGATACAGCCCTCCCTTGTTTTTTTTGTTTTGTTTTTTTCCTCCCCCCTCCCCTTTCACCTCTTGCTTGCCATCAGCATAGCGGCGTCATGGATCGGACGGTACGATACTTGCGGTTACCTTGAATCAAACCAAATCCCGTAAACCAATCCTTTGGGACCGAACATTCCCAGAATCGCTACAATACATCCTATCCATACCACCGATGCTACCCCTCCTGGTCTCACTCCTCCTCCGCAATCGTAGTCGGCCTCCCCCTACCGCATCAGACGCCGCTTTTGAAAGAGGCCGGCACATACAAGCACGTAAACACCATGATAAATAATAGGATAAAGACTCACAAAATGGTAACTGTTCCATGCACCCGATTGAACAAAGAAGCCCACACCCACACCCACACCGCTTCTGCATCTGCATGTTGCCGGAGTAGAAGTCATGACTGTGATCAAGCGGGGGGGCAGGCTGGCCAGGCCAGTGTTGGAGATGCAGCCAAACTCCAATCATGCCACTTCAGAAGAGCCCCAAAACATGGTACCGGAACTGGCTAAACACATCAAGTTAAGAGCTTCTACGCGGTTCTTCGCGCAGTGCTATTCACAGTAGGGTACGGTACAGTACACAGAGGCAGTACTCGAGTACAGCATGTACAGTACCGCCAAAGCAGCCAAGTAAAACACAGATGTTCAAACAAGCTCATCCATCCCCACCCACCGCTATCCCGCCAACAGGCCGGGAGAAGCGTGATCGCCTGTACCAGAGTAGGGTAATAACAACCGAGGTAGCTCACCGTGGAGAATATACCCCCGAGATACATCCGTCCCCTGAGATGTGCACAGCCCGCTAGGCGCGCGATCCATCCTGGTTTGGGTCATCCAAAAATCGAAAACCTACCCTGCTCATTAGCTCAGCTATGCTCCACCAGCCCAATCGGACCGGGAGACCTCGCAAAAGAGTACCCGACAATTGGGTGTCAACGACAAAAGTGCCCCCCTGGTCGAAAATAGGCCTTTACAAAAAGACCAAGAAATAATTTACCACCGTACCGTATGCCTACCCGGTAGCTCGATCTCCCAGAACTGTTGAAGAGAGCAAGCTGTGCTACCCGGTGGGGCAACGGGGAGGGGAAAGGGGAGGGGGGGTGGAGGAAGGGGGGCAAGGAAAAATTAATCCAAGGTGCAATTTTTTTAAATCTTTGGACGGACAGAGAAAGATATATGATATAACAATCCAGCTCCCATCCGGCATCTAATCTCCTCCGATAGGCACGCGCTAACCCACTCCGCCAAACAAGTCGGAGATGTAAACTGGTGAATTTCAAGCGTGACCACGGGTCCACAGAGTAAGTTAACCGCCACAGCGTCTACCCATTCCTAAGACATGCACAGCTCTGTCCCGTCGAGCCATTGGCCGCTAAACAAAGTACTCGTACAGTGGCGCCCCGTTGTCCCCGACAGCCAAAAAATCCCAAGAATCCGTCCGGGACGGCGAGCTATCCGGGACAACAGGTTTGGTTTTGGCGCGAAGAGATTCATCCGGGACAGCGAGATGCGGGACAACGGGGTGCGAGTCTATGGTACTGACAGGTAACGACCACGCAATCCCCGACCATCATCAAATCCGCCAAGCGCTGCTGCCTTTGACCTCTCCCCAAGGGCGAGGAGGGGAAAGTAAAAACCCATTTTTAGCCATCTACATAAACTCTACCCCTCCTATGATTCACCCGGACCTCAATGACTCAACGAACAGGATCAGCACACAATGGCGAAAGCCCCTCACAAAAGACACAATCTATTCCCTCTCCAATCCCCAACCACCCGAGTGATAAGACATGAACCGCTAACCCACAAAACAATACTCCGCAGCGGTCAAATTAGGACTAAAGGCACAGAATAACGAAGGTTCAAGAAGAAGAAAAAGGAAAAAAAAGCAACCGAAACACTTCCCCTCACCATCGAGTCAACTCGTGCATCCCCGGTTTCCGAACCACACGCCGCATAACCTTAACTAAATCACAGCGCCTCTAGAACCCAGCACCACCAAAACAAGACTAAGGAGCACGTCGAAGGAATAGATTTCCAAGAGCATTACCAATACATCCACACACCCTACTGTACTTTACTTTTACACCATACCGGTTTCGGCTCAGTTCTGCGGAGCCAGACGCGCTGCATAACTTATGTCATTATTCCTGGCTCGTTTTGGTTGAGACCAAAGCAGTGTTCAAATTCAAAGTGTGGCTATTCCGGTCGTAGAAGTGCATCTAATGCAGCACGGTTTGAGGCCCCTGACGCACAGCACAGTGCTAAAGCATATGGGGCGATGCGGGTGGTTTAAGCTTAATATTGGTCCGGTGGGGGGAAAAAAAAAAAGCACTGCTTCCACCTGCCCCGCCCCTCAGGGATCAGAGGGTGTTGCCTCGATACAGAGTCACCAAACATACTGGGTGGGCTATTAATGGGTGAGCAGGAGAGCTTGCGGCGCTTGCTGATAGGTCCTTTTCGTCTTTCACGCAAGAGTACTTTCGAGTGAGGGGTGGTGATGGCGTGGATGCGACATTCCAGAGGTATTTGTGGAGCCACTTTGCCCGTGCTCGAGTTGACTGGCGAGTCCACTTTACCGGTATCCCGCCTCTAACTCTAGTGAACAGAGTGATTCAAAAACACCCCGGCGCGATTGGTTCTGCAGCAGTTCACATCGGTTGAAGAGGAGGAAGATGTCTCCGATGTGAGTCGTTATCCTAGACTCTATGCTTTTTTGATTTAGCTTCAGATCAAACAAAGTAGCTAACTTTATCACCCATCCACCGTAGAATCTTGTCATGCATATTTGGATCAGGCACGATCAGGTACAATTAATCATCACGTTGAGCAGGTCATCCTTTCTTTTGCTCTCATTGCTAAAATCATAACACAAATTCCCACTGGCCAATCAACACCAGAAAACCCAACCCCCGAAACCGGACAACCATAAAGCAATAAGGATATCGAACAACGCAAGGCGCCTCCAGGATACCGATTTTACACCTTCGCCTGAAGTCCCGTCTGCAAAAAGTTTCGAGATGGAAGAGTGAGAAGCGTGAATAAATAAAAATAAAAGTAAAAGTAAAATACCCTCTTCGTGCGACATCAAGCAGTTTTTTTGTTTTGTATCGGGAGAAAAAGAAAGAAAAAATAACATGATACACATGCATGCGGATAGGAGTCAAATAGATTTACGAAAAGAAGAAAAGAAGAAAAAAGAAAAAAGAAAACCACTTTTAGGTATGATATAAAACTTTTTCCAACCTTAAACCCCAACAACGCCACAAACCAAAAATACTGTATGATATATGTAAAAGAGGGGAAAGCACATGGCTTTTTCGGCGAACACACCAGAGATTGCCGACCCAAGCATGGTTAATCGAAGAGCATGACTAGCCCTGCCAAAGACAAGAGAAAATAAAAACAAAAATCTCAAAGCCTTTTTTTTTTCCTCCGCCTCCAGATTTCAGAAATGTGAGGGACCAAATCCGGGCTGCGTCCCGAGCGGAACACCGCCAACAGACCAGCCACCCCCGGGAACCCCGTGAGCCAAGACATGACCCAAGGGGTCGTGGATAGCATTTCCTCCAGCTTCGGGCCCTGCCATACCGGAGGTTCCCGGTTGCGAACCAGAAGCCATGGCAGGCTGGAGCCCGGGGAAGGGCACGCCATCCGCGAAAAAAGCCGGGGGGAAAACGCTGCGCAGTGCCGAGCCGTGCGACGACCTAGAGTCGTGGGTGAGAGACGGTGGGGTAGAGCTATCTCCCCCAAGCGGGAAGCCCGTTGGGTCCTGGAACAACGCCTGAGGTACCGAAAGGTCAAGCGGAATCGAGCCTTGGCCAGTGGGCCGCACCGGATATGAGCATGAGTCTGCCAGGATGATGTTAGCCAGTGCTTGTAAGAGGCAATTAGGATTGGGGTTTGTTCATACCTCTAGCGCAGTAGGCGACAGGCCCGCTCCCACCGTCCGGCAGGTTTAGGGCAACATTCGCCGAGTGCCCGATATCCCGGAAAAACCTGTCTATATCTTGCAAGACATGGCCCATCTGCTGGGCTGTTCTCGGTGAAGCTCCGTGACGATTTCTCAGACCTTCGAAACAAGCCCTACGGAAATCTTCAATTCTGGAAGAGATGTGGTCCTCAGCCACCTCCCAAGAAACCTTGTCGGCAAGGCTCGAAAGGGGAGGCTGTCCATGGAAGTTATTGCGATCGGGGGCAGGGGAAGCAGGGAGTTCAGGCCAATGAAATTCGGAAGGATCAAACGGGAGCTCTTCGCTATCCGCTAGGAGAGGTTCAGGGGTATCAGGAATTGTTGGAGCTCCATTGCTGAGTATGCTCTGGTCAGCCCCGAAAGGACTAGGAGGAATAAAGTCCCCCCGGCGACCCTCTTCAACATCAAAAGCACGGTAATTGCCTATAAAGGTCAGATTTCGAATACATAAAAAGAGATGCCACAACTTACTAGCGCGTCCACCCTGATACTTTACGTATTCTTCACGAGCCTCATGGCCGCTATGGTCGCCACGGTCTGCTTGATCCCCCTGATCTTCTCGGCCTTCTCGGTCCTCTTGGTCCTCTTGGTCGTCACGGTCTTCTTGGTCTTCATAGTCCTCACCGTCGCCTTCTTCGTCATAAAATTCTTCCACTTCCTCCTCTTCCTCACCTTCACTCCCGAGACCATAACCTCCATCAGTGCCCACGATGGGCTCAGTTACCAGGTCTTCGGGCTCCTCCCGGAAGCAGATATCGCATATTTGCTCCCACGTTAAGTTTCTAGTCGCCAAGGCTTGATTCTTCCTCGAGAGGCTGGGATCTGTGGTCCGTAGAATAGGCTCCATCTCAACCTGGCCAGGATGAGCAGTCTTTTGATGCCTGTTGATCTGGAACTTGTCCCCGGCGTGAAATCTACAGTTCCCGAAAGGGCAGCCAAGGTGTAGGAAATGTGCCCTCCGAAGATGTTCCCTGCGCAAGTTTATGTAAGTCAGCAAAGACTGCTTTTGGGATCAATGAGATGACCACATCGGGGTGGTAGGGCACGCACTTGAGTTTGCTGAGGTTCTTCTTCCTCCTCATGCAGGACTTCTTCTTGCAGTTCTGGCGATCCCTCACCCAGTAGGGACAAGGGACACCCTCACCTTCCGAGTCAGGGGGCGGAGGGTCATTGCCGACTGGTGGCTCTTCTCTTCGCTCCCTTTTCCTGCCTCTGCCGTCACCATCATCGTCGTCGCTCGGACGCTTTCTGCTGCGCGGGAGGCGGGTAGACCCAGGTTTTTTGAAATGAGCACTCGACCCAGACCCTTGCCGAGCCTGTACACCACCGCTCCCGCTCGCCTCACCGCCGTAGGACCGGATCTCTCCAGCAGCTTTGTGCGAAACAGGCCCATCCTCATCATCAAGCTCGGTTATACGAGGCGACAAACAGGGCGGTTGCAACTCCAGAGGTTTGGCTGCGAAGCCATAGCTGTCACGAAACATGGATGCACCACCTATTTCGAACGCCAAGTCGAATTTCAGAATCTCCCACTTGTTTTGCATGGAGCGCAGCGCCGAATTCAATGGCTGTGCGAACCCGGTGCGTGCATGGAGGATGTCGAGATCCCATGTCATGGCTTTCCTGAGCACCTCGTCCGAAAGTCTCGCCGGCACGATGGACCGAGATACCAGCTGGTGGCTGGTAGAGTCTGTGGATGCTGCTATCACCGGAGCCAGGCATGGGTTAGCATGCTTGATCCCAGACTCTTTTTCACGAAGCGCGCCACAATTCGTCGGCAAAGGTGGGAACTTGAATGGTGGTTCTTGTACCCCGGGAGTACTAGTCCCACCAGCCGGACAAGTGAATGGACCTTCTAATACACGAAAGCCATCACTTTCCGGCAAAGCTCCGTTGTCAATGGGGCGAGGTATTCTCTTGACAAAACGGGACGGAAGCTCGCGTTGGACGATGTACGGCTTCAAAGTGCTGTAAAAGTGGAGAAAGTTGCTTTCTACCACCGGTTGTCGTGAAACCTTACTTACCTTTACCTCATGGGTAGGCCCAAGAGTAGGGGCAGAAGACGAGGCAAGGGTGAGGGCAGGACCAGGAACAACCCCAAGGTCTAGCCCGGTTTCTCCCGTTACGCAGGTCGCGTGCTCGTCAGCACCTCCACTCGGAAAACCCTCGTTCTTTTTGCGCCCAACACCTTTTTCATCAATCTTAGTAACCAGATATCATGGATTTCCCCTTCTCCAGGCCCCTTTCCAGGGTCTAACTTACAATTTTCGGGAATAGCCTCACAAGTACCCGCCACAGCCGGGTTTGTGTCGAGTGATACATGGTGTCGCGCTAGCCGGCCGTCAAGATCAACTTTGCTATTTTTCTTGGGGAAAGGCAGCGCAGCTTTACCCCTCGCAGCAACGGCATCCTTTCCAGGCGTCCCTTGACCTCCCTCAGGAGCCCGCGACTCAGGCATAACTGCAGTGTATTCGGGGGGATGATCGTTGTGGCGGAGCCTACAGAAAGGTTAGGGTTAGGTTTCGCATGACCGGAGCGGCGGCAGGGAGAACCAAAATTAAGCGAAAGAATAACTCACGGATCGGACAGCCCGCTCGAAAGGGCGGGCTCAGGGCAACCTTTTCCCCTTGTAAACTCTGTAGGGCATATGGAAGATCCATCGACATCTGAAGAAAGCCCAGTAGCGAGGCTCATCCGCTTGAAAGGCAACGGACTATTTTCAAGGTGGCTAGGGGCCGGAGGCGTATATTTGCCCACCGACTTGAGGAGGGCGGATAACCGTGAGCCCCAGCGACCGCTAACAGTGATCCTGATTGGAATCACGAGCGGTTGGGATTTATCCTTTCCGGTTGGCACTGCGCATGCGTCCGAAACCGCATCCGGCTCAACAGGAACCACAGCCTCTACCCAAGGATTTTTTGTCGCTCTTGTAGAGGGGTTTGAAGTAGAGAGAACCGAAACCGAGTTCTCTATCGCTCTGGGCGAGATATGGATACACGATTTTGCTCTCTTGGTGGCCGAGAAGAGTCGTGCAGGTAGGCGGAAGACTAAAGCATAATTATGGTGGATGGCTGCCTGCAGCGAGTAGTCCCCAGATACAGACCTCATCGTCTGTAGCTCTGGCAGGTGACAGTAGTAGAAGTGGAACATGCGGCAGGATAGTTTGAAAGGACGAATGTGAACGCAGCGTTCAAGGAGCGAAAACTAGGTGAACTCCAGTGTAATGGCTTTTTGTGCCAGAATTGAGTTAATATCCAATAGTCCAGGTACTGGTAGTACCTGTACTCGCGGTAGAATGGTAATGGAAAGGAACGAAAACACCAAATAGTGAGCTAAATGGTTAAAGGACAATCGACCACAGAAGAGCACAGGTGGGGGGGCAGTTATCTTATGTGGAAGGAAGGCAGCCCCTGCATACGTCCCTATTGTACTGCAGTTAAATAGAGATGGTGTGCGTGTGTGGGTTTCCCAGATGCCCACACCTTACAACTTTTACTTCCATACTTTGAGCAGAGGCTGCTTCTATTGCTCTCTCAGTTTTGACCGTGCTCAGCACCCTATCCCAGCGAATGTGGCGGAGTTGTGGCAGCTGGGGGATGAATGCCCATGGCCGAAATTTTTTACTTCCCCATCGGGTATTTGTCGTTTTCACTCTCTCACTCTTCTAAGGCAGTCCGTCATCATACAGGTATTCGGACTACCAGAGGAACGACGATCTAAAAGGCTACTCATCCAACCAACAGTGGCCCTTGGAGGCTTTCCAGTGAGCTACCTGAACTGAATACAGGTAGAGGAGAAAAGGGAAGAGAAGAGAAAAAAAAGTAAAATGAAACAAAGCCAAATGGGCTCAGCGATTTTCCCTGAAAAAGCGCCGAATCAAGGAATCCCTAACAGAAATGAGCAATGAGGCAATCTGCAGCCGAATCAGTTCCGAGACCCGCGCTTCCAATGGGCCATCGCTCCAGGACTTGAACACGTCGATGCACGCACAAAATTTAAGCACGGCGAGAGGGAAAAGTCTCACTTTACCCAATTCGAAGAAAGAAAGAAAAAAAATCGCACAAATTTCAAATCCAAGTCCTGATAGAGTGATTTTATGACATATTCGAGTGCTCTCGAATAGGGCTTCAGATTTGAGGGAGCTGCTGACAAGAAGAAAGAAACCCAACCCGCATGACCCTAGTAAAAGTATCAGGCGGAAGGGATCCTAAGGTGTGGCATTACTCACATCCAGGTATCTTTACTTTTGTCCCTTCTCCCATACCATTTTTCGTACTCGTATCAATCTTCAAAGTACCTGTAGTATGATAATTTAGTAAAATCGCTGCCATGATTATCGTAATCACCAGATAGAACCTCCTAGCACGTTCCAACAAGTTCCGTTATGTTAAATATCTGGAGCCGCTACTTAATCAGTGGACAGAGAAGAACCAGGCTGATAACTCCAAAGATTTATAGCTATGATTGTCACTCGTTCAACCAAAAGAAAAGAAGAAGAAAAAGCAACTACAAATCCCAGAATTAAAAAAAACCCAAAAGTGCGATAAGAAAGAAATTTCATGAAGCTCAACGAATCCAAATGCCCCACCATCCGGTCCCACCTAAGACGAGGGAACATGGCTCGGGGGGTAGTAGCTGCGCAACAGCTCGGGAATTCAGAGCTCCTTGAAGCCGAAAAAGTCCTCTGTTGCTCCACCGACACCCTACCCATTCATGCATCCATTAATTTCCGCAGTTCACCCGAAAGAGCCTCCATCACGCCAAGAACCCGTGGACCTCGACAAAAGTGCGCAAGAGTATTCGTACAGTACTCGAGCACTGTGCCAGTATTGTACGTACAAGGCTACGAATGTTTACCTCTGAAGAGGGAGAGTGGGACAACGCCCGCAGCTGGTCAACCCAATCACTTGCACGATTTACAGCGCACTACACAAAGGAAGGAAGACGGACGGGCATGGGTGGCGACTCACACAATACGGGTTCTCAAATAGGATACAGGTACCGTAGTCACTAAGACGTACTTGTAAAAGGAAATGACTGATTCCAAACTCATGTTACAATACAGTACGGTATTGCCAGCGAAGAGTTGTGTGTACAGCTCGTCCGCCTCCGATACCGTACGTACCATACCGGTACGGGAAATGTAGCTCAGGCCAAGAGACCCGAGCTCACGATACATGAGTAGAATATCGCGGTAAAACATGCACAATACTGCCAGCCCACAACTATCATCCTACCATGGCTCGGAGTCGGACAGGTGGTACCCATCTTCCAAGCCATTCCCCATCTCCGTGTGACCATCACCCTTACCGGCACCGCCGGTAATCCCGCGAAATTGTAAGCATCTAGGAGGGGAATGATACAGTATGGGAGAAATAAAAAGAAAAAAACGCAAAGTTAGCCTGCCCCCCGCTCCAGCCCTCGGCGAGATAGCTTTTCCCCTTCCCAACGTTCCCACGTACGGCGTAAGTACAGTCCGAAATCGTGCGCACTGTATCCGCCGTTCTCTTCCCCCCCAGCCGCGTTACGTATCCGCCGTGAACTTACGAGAAAACAAACAGACCTTCGTAGGCAACAAAAATGCTAACCGGGAAATAGTACTAGTACAAGATCCGAAAACATCAACTCCTACTGGACGAAGCAGGCAAGCAGAAAGCGCTTCGCCCGTTACGGCCGGATGCGTGATCTCATGGGGGGAGGAGCGTTTTACCAGCATCCCCACGAGTAAGTTGAGGTGTTCCCGGGACCACGCGAAAAGTGGAAGGAAGGGAAAGCCCAAAAGGTTGGAGTTGTGCTGTGAGATGAGCGGTCGCAAGTGGGAAAATGTACTCGCTGTCGCACAAAAAGTGTAGGTGGTTCTCCTTACCCTGCGAACACTTTGCAGCCATTTCACTTGCCTGCACGGGGAATGGGATGGTTGAGAGTTAGAGCTTTGGCTCAGAAGAGCAGTTGCAAGTGGCCGAGTACCGTACCGTACAGACACGGTACGGTACATTGGGATCATCAAGGTACGGTAGTAGTGGAGCTCGAGTTTCCGTGGGCTAGCAACAACTTTTGGTATCATACCTTCATGATGAGATGGCCCCAAAAATACACCCATATTCGTACCCTGACTTCACCAGTCCGGACACAGACAGGAAAATTGGCGAAAATCTAATCGCAATACCGGTAGCGTGTGCGAGGGGTCATCAGGAAACTACAGTATCAGTATGCAACCCTCTCCGCCGGTGATCAAATTTCGGTCTTCAAACACGTTAGTTGTCACTCTGGGTCAATGGTGAAGGGTGTTCCGGTGTAGGATCCAAAAACGAGGCTGTCGCGTCCGCTCGAGACATGCTATCAGGTCACTACTGCGGTTATTACCGTAGCGGTGACAGCCAGAAAGCCTGCCCAGATCCGTACCATACCGGTACTATAGTCCAGCCCAGCAGCGTCAAAACCCGTCACTGAGTCCTGTCCCGGGCACCGAATATAATACCACTTGTATCATAGTAATTCTAGGCAAAAGTTTTTCGTACGTAATGCACAGCCCGTATTCTCCAGGCGCAACTTGGTCACCGCAGCGCAAATCTCACCCTGTCACCAGGGCGGAAACGATCAACTCGTCCATTTCGCATCATCATAGCCACCGTGAACATGATGGCGCTGAATGGTGTTCGCCCGATTACTGGCACTCTACGGTACTTCTCCCCAAATCCTACCAAACGCACCGTTGAGACATCGCTATCACGGCTACCACCGCACCCTGCCCCCCCCTCTACTAGAGCCCGAATCAGGAGGACAAATGCGTGACGGAATTCTACAGTGCAATACCGATACAGGCTTTGCAGTATCCTCTCCTCCGGATGCCATATCATACACGCGCTGCTTACCACCAAGCAGCCCCGTGAAAAGGTCCCTGGACCAACCAGAGCATGCCCACAACTCCCCAACTCCCCCAGTACCCATACAGGTATCGGCCGTCGCCGCCTCGCCCTACTAATGAAAAGCAAAGAGAGATACCGCAAATGCCACATCACACTCCTCCACAGTTCCAGGGGCTCAGGCCAAGTCTGCCGAACTATCCTCCCTCCCCATTGGCTCGACGGACCTATCCACTACCGGTACCCTACGGGTACCCAAAGAACAGGATTTTGCCCTAGCCACTTACTAAGGTGAGGAGAACCCGACAGACCATCATCCCTCACCAGAAACTAACTCAAGTTAAATGGAGCCCCTCCGCTGCCTATCCACGTTACGCACACGCGCATATTTGGCGAGCCCGTGCCGAGCCCCCCCGCAAGGCGTTTTTTTTTTTTGCGCACACCTTGAGCGCTGTAGGAGTACTGGTACAGTGCTTTAGAGAACAATATGGTGCGCTCCCTACAGTATGATACAACACCCACCGCAGTTGCAGCGAATCCAATCACTCAATAAACGAAATCGCCTACCGACACAACCAAAAGCACACAACGATACTCTCACCAAGACGAGGCGGAAAGGAAGGGGAAAGAGAAAAAAGAAAAGAAAAGAAAGAAAAAAAAGAAAAAAGGGAAACAGAGCTAGAAACCCCAGGTTTGAAGATCGGGGCC